GGAGAACATTGTTCCCCTGTGTGGTTCTGAATTACTTTCATAAATGTATATGCCTGTCATTGGGAGCATCATTTCCTTATGTTTGTAGGCTTCTATGAAGTATAAAACAACAATTATATAAATATATACTTAAAAAGTAAAATTAATACTAATATAAATATAGTATAAATAATGATATATTAGCCACAGTAAATTGTACTTGCAGTATGATCTTTTTGGATTCAGCATACCTCCTCTACAGTGGGCTATATAATGTCTAATTTTCCCACATCTTTTCTCTATCTAAACTTCTATAACTTTCTTCTGTAAAGCATACAGTAATTATCATTTGACCTTCTCTTAGCCTACATGCATCATTAACCTCCTTTGTTTTTCCCTCATTAGCTCAAGATAATTAAAGTAATACTACTTGGCACAGGGTTAGTCCAAACTCTCTTTGGATCCATGTCACAGAAAACAGACTCATAACTGGCTCTCATAGCTTGTATACATCAAGGTGAAATTGTCTTCAATTATGACTAGTGTGATATATTTCCTGCCTTGCCCAGGTCAGTCCTGGTTTATGCTTGTGCCTCCTTCAACTTTCAGAAGTGTTCCAATTTGGATGGTAAATTGTAAGTGTTCTCCCTAAGTATGACTTCATCTAAAGACTCAAGTAGCGTCCTCAGGACTCTCTAAACCTAGCTTTCTCTCAGTTCTCTCAGTGCTGCTTCCCTGTTTTGGCCCCTCTTTCAATGGTGTCTTCCATGATATGATCGTGGAAAGTGGGCTTCTGTGGGCCAGCTTTCACATCATCTTTTTAGTGCTGTGATTTTTCTTGCTAGCTTTCACATAAAAGGCCAGATTTCATTGGTGCCTAGATTGCATTCCTTTTGGTGGCGGGAGTGGGGGTGGATCACTGTATCCAAAGTGATTATTTTGTAAGTTTTATACGTGTGTGTGTGTGTGTGTGTGTGTGTGTAAACATATTTACATATATTAATTTGTAAAATGTTTTGTTCAATGATATTTACATTTCAAAGAAATGGCCCCCAGGTCCTCTAGAAAGACATGCTGGGTCATAAATCTGACTATTTAAAACTAAGTAGTTTCCAAAAGTGTGGAACACACATACATTTCAAAGAGAGCGAGAAAATACTTACAATTATAATTTTTCTAAAATAAATGCTCTAAGAAAAAGAAGGGGAGGGAAATCGTTTCCTTTCAACAGGGATAGTTACGCCTCTTATTTTAAATTTATATTTGCCCTTACACTCTCTTTATTTGATTCTGTCTTACATATAAAGAAAGCCCTTGATCTTGTTAATCTTATAGTAGCACTGTGGTAATCAGAAGTGACTATAAATGCATTTGTAATTTGGTTTTGTTCCAATTTAAATTGTAATTTAGTTTCATTCAATGTCAAAAATTTTAATTGTTAAATTCTACATAAAAAGTATGATTTCTTAAATGTAGAGCAGGAGTGTCAAGAATTTAGCATAAGATAACTTGATTAAGTCAACATCTTAATAGCTGTCTAACAGCCTGTGAATTTGGGCAGTTTACAACCCTGAAGCCAGGAATTAAATGATATAAATATGACCCTAAGCAGAAAATTGGAAAAATAATCTTCTTGGAGAAAAAAAAAAAGACTGCTTTCTGAAGTCAAAAGTTTTCTTTATTTTTTTAGTTTTAATCTTTGCCAGCAGTTAAAACTTGAAATTTCCTATACTGTCCCTCAACAAATCAGGGGCAGATATGATTTGATTATCATTTTTATAATGGTAACTTGCATAATTCTGTTCAAGGAAATAGAACCTAGTCGATGGTTACTTTACTTTTATAGTACCCACCCCTTGTCCGAACGTGATGAATTTCTTTTTCCAGGTCCATGAGACCTCAAACCACACGAGTTCCCACTACCTGTTACTGTGGGATCCTCCTTTGCCCTTCCACCTTCTGTGTGGGACCCTCTCATCAGATGCTGAGCTCCACCCCATACACCTGTTGGGCTCAATATTTGCTCTCAGAAATGCAATTTTCCATCAGCCTCTTCCTCCATAGAGAGAGGCCTGAGGGAACCCCCTTGGTGACCCTACCCTTGTCTTTATAGTTAAGGGCCTGCCATGTCCACATTTCACATAGTCTTGGTTCTTTGGGAGTTACACTGTACCTTCCCACTACCCTAAAGTCTCACTCATTCACAGTGACCGCTTGTTGACAGTTATTTTACAGGCCACTTAATCACCTTGACCAGCCTGGCCTTGTCACCAAGCAGTGATCACACTCTTTGATCTTTCCTGACCAATACATGTTGTATATTCTTTGTTTCTTCTTGAAAGAAGGGTGCTCCTTACCCTTTTAATCCTGCCTCTGAATTTAGGTGAAATGCTGTAGCTGCCTTGCTGAGGACTGTTAGGAAAATTTACCCTTTTCTCCCTTCGCTGCCCCCCACTAACTATGAGGCATTTGTTTTGTTTTGTTTTTTATGGTATTGCTTCCTGCCAGTCTGTCAAACATGACAGTGCTGACTTGATTTGTAGAGAACAACCTTTAATTCTTTCCTGTACACTGTGTGGAAAGCATACCGGTATTTAGAATGTTGGAACCATAACCATGCAATATTTGTAATTTTTCTATTAGGACTCTGTCTGCATAGAAATGAGAATTGAAAACCAATTACATAAATTACTAAGCTTTGAAAGATTTTATTTTTTCAGTATTTTTTCAGCATTTTTTCCTCTACGATATGTATTCCACAAAGTACCTTGTGACTAGCAAGAAATCAGGTAGAAATTCAATTAGTAAGAAAACCATCCCCACTCTTTAGTGTTAAACACATTTGAGGACTTTTTGATCCACAAGCCATTGACTTGATGCTCATGGCAAAGTAAGCTAAGGGTCCCATGCCACCGTTATTTTAAGAGATATGAAGTGAATTAGAATTTTAAGTTAATGTCTAACACCAGGAAAAAAAAATTGTCATCAAGATTTAAAAATTCTTATCTGTGTATACATAGTTTAACTGGTAAGAGTCACATTCTTCATTATTTCAGATTTTTCCTGTTGTATGGCTCTCAGACCTTCCTAGCTTATATCCTGTGAGCCTCTCTCTGGGCCTCTGAGTTGTTTCCCTAATAGAATGGACCATGGGTGGCTGTTCATTGGCTCTCACTGTGTCTATGGAATCTCCACCTGAGTGTGGATGCTGGGATTTAGGATGTCCCCCCCACCCCCACCCCACACACAGCTCGGCTGCTGCAGACCCAGTCTGCAGTGCTCTAGAAACGCAGTGGGCCTTGAAGATAGCCCTGCTGGGTGCTGCCCAGGGTGTGTTACTTGGGTGGACCTCCGGAATCGGAGGAATGTGCGAGCCATAATGCCCAGAGTTAGGCTTTTCACAAAGCCAAGTGTGCTGTTGTTGATTAACAAATAATGGGTTGTTTCTCTTGGAATTGTTTTTATTGGCAGATGCCCTGAAAGATTCAAAGGCTGTCTGTAAATGAAGAATGCTCTCATTATTTATTCAGCTCCTGCTTTTCTACTTAATGTGCCTATGTCTTGGGAAATTTTCTTGAATATCAAATCACAAGTAAAATTTAAGCATTATTTCCACCCCCCCCCCACCAGATTTTCAAATAGGACATTTAACTATGACCTGTTCTCGGATGATTTGGAGGAGGAAAGGGGCAAAGGGATTGAAGGCCAGAAGTTTACCATCTAATTCTACAGCTTAAATTCAAGTACATTTCTGGTTGGTTGACTGTATGTCTATTGCAAGTTAGCTGCTGAGAATTCAAATATGTGCAAAGTGAGAAGCAACAGGGATCACAGGGAGTGGGTCAGGAAAGGTGGATGCAGGAGGTAAGTGTGATGGTTGATGGAGGATTGCCAGGGTGGCAAGAGGAAGTAGAGCTAATTACATTTTGGCAAGGGAAACAGCATGTTGAAGACTTGTGGCGTGATCAGCAGTAGGTATTCTTGGAACTGTAAGCTGTTCAGTAATGCTACGAGCATAAAGCACTGTAGGAATGGCCCTGGGAAAATGGGAATATGAGCCCAGATAATAAAAGTCCTGAGCCCTGTCAAACAGTGATAAATACGTCCATGATGTATAACTTTGGCCAAAGATAATGTGAAGCCAAATGCCATATCTTAGTTATTTTATGTCCTATACACAGATGTTCTCAATATCTACCAAGTAGGAGGAGCCAGACAAATAGTTGATGGAATTTATGTAAAGATAGCAGTTACTGTTAAGTGTGAAGGGTAAGAGCACTCTACTTTGTAAAAGGCCATTTCATTAGTAATATTTTCATGTTATGATGGCATAATGCTAGGAACTGAAATGTGAGGAGACCCTGTGTACTCGTATGTAGAGAGTGAAAGAGCGTTTTGGGAATGGGTTTATGACTTGGGTGACAGGGAAGCTAGAAAAACATAGGGGAGACTTTTCTGTCCTGTGTACCATTGCCTACTGATGTGCTAGCAGATCATGTTGCCCATGTGTCAGCTGTTTAATAATGGTGACTGAACGTGCATTACACGAGATGTGGCTATTTTAACATATTTTAAAATTATTTTTGTGTGTCTTGTCACTACTGCCATCAACTTTACAAGAGACAAAGTTTAAATTATGATAATTGGCCAAACAGTTAAAACACCTTCCAATGGGGAGAAAAATATTGAATAAAACTAATTTATATTGCTTCAAGTTATACAATACTTATCTTTTTAATGCTTTGGAGAATATACACGAACAATGAAAGCATTTTTCCAGTTGAGTTGTATTTATTGGATTTAAGTATTATGAAGTAATAAACAGATGGTACTTATGTTTGAGACTTTCTATATTTGGAAAATAAAAAAGATAGTTTTGATATAAAACAAAATTCAACTGGAAGAGATAGAGAAATAAAGTGTGTGTGTGTGTGTGTGTGTGTGTGTGTGTTGGGAGTTGGATATACGTGTGATGAAGTTAGAAATCCCTTATTCTATACTATTTTACTTTTTTTTTGTAGGTGCTGGTGAATCTGGGAAAAGTACAATTGTGAAGCAAATGAAGTAAGTAGATTCAGACCGTTAAATTTGTATTTTATGTTTAAGTGTACCCTTCCATCAGAGGAAGTAAGTTTTCTCTTTCTCCTTTTGTCGCCTTAGAATTATCCACGAAGCTGGTTATTCGGAGGAGGAATGTAAACAGTACAAAGCAGTCGTCTACAGCAACACCATTCAGTCAATTATCGCTATCATTAGGGCCATGGGGAGGTTGAAGATAGACTTCGGTGACTCAGCTCGGGCTGTAAGTGATTGAATTCTTTGGAGCAGGCCTGATGAGTAAAAAAGAATAACTTGCATAATACCATACTACATGACATAGATATGTCAGCTGTCTCAGGACCATTTTATAAAAGGAGTGAAAAAGATAGTAAAGTGAATCAGAAGCTTTAGAAGTGAGTGAAATTACAGGGTTGTGCAATCTTCCCTTTATAGCTAAGGAATACTTTCCTAATCCCTCAGATGATTTGGACAATTCAGTAACTATTGCAAAATTTTCTATATAACATGTGCTATTGGGGATCCCCGTATCTTTATAATTTGGAATGCTGAAATGATCTAATTATTTGTATTTATACCCGAACTAAAAATCAATCTAATCTCATGAGAATGAAATAAAAGTTTGCATGTCTTTAGGATAGAAAAATGTTAGCTATTAAGAAACACAGATCAGAATTTCAGCACTAAAGGGACAAGAACCTTAGGAGACAAGGTAGTTCTACCCTCCATTTTATCAGCAAAGAACCTAGAATCCAGGAGATTACGTGATAGAAAGATTGCTGCCGTTAGTTGGAACCAAGGCTCTATGCTTCTTTATTTGGCCCAATAACTCGTTCCTGGTTTGATTGGAAGTGGTCCTGGCGTAGTCCATATTGACACTTTGCTTCTTTTCACCCAGTCCTTTTGCTTGCTTAATCTGTTTATTTCAAGTTTTATTTTTTGTGTATCATTTTTTCTTCATTGATTCTGTTTTTAATAACTAGTGTAAAACTTGACCTTCCCAGAAACCTTTAACTGAATCTCTAGCTTTTTAATTTTTATACACAGTAGATGTATTATTATTTCTACCATTACTCCGTTTTAAAAATTCCTTTGTATTTTTGTATATTCAATGTGTGTGTGTGCTTCCTCCCTACTAATACTGTGAAGAGTTTTGTCTAGAAACTATTACTTTTCCTTTTTGACACCTTAGTATTTTTTTAACATGAAGACTCACTTCATGCTTAATAGGGATAAGAAAAATGAATGAAGGCAACATTAGAAAAACATACATTGGAGAACTCTGTAAAATAAACCTGGTTTGTTTTTTGTAAATTAGTCTAAAATTCCTTTATAAGTTACTGGACCATATTAATTTGCTAAGCTTTTTCTTTAAACAAAAGTTTAAGAGCTTAGTATAATGAAGTAAAGTTTTCAAGTAGATTTCAAGATCATTTCTAATAATAATTCATAACATTCTTCTAAATTGTCATTTTTGAAACAAGATTTGATCATATATACACATTTTTTGCATTATGTTCTATTTGTTCAGTTTGTAACTTATTTATCATTTATTCATTCAATAAATGCTTTTTGAGCTCTTAGTCTTAAACAAAAGGGAACCACCCTTAGATACAAGAGAAAGAATTGATATAAATTGTACTTTACACCAATTCCAGTTATGGTCATTTAAACCTTTTATCAAATTCACATACATATTCTGTGTTCATATTCTATATGTGATTAGAGAAAAACGTTTTGCAGCCTCCATTTTAGGAGGTAATGAAGGGTCAGTACAAGCAGATTTTTATGAATTCTTTTTCTTTTCATATTTCTCTTCAAGGAATTTTGCCATCTTTTCCTTTTTTAAAAACATAACTTGGACTTAGTTTCAGGACTGACTGGGAGTAACTGCTCTCATCATAATTTTTTACTGTTTTTAGACTCTCTCTAGCTGTACCATAGTAACTTTTTACCTTCAGCTTATTACTTTTGTTTGCTTTAACCATTGTTACTAATTCCTTCATGCAAATATCTTTCTGCTCCCACATTGATTTTGATCAGTCTACTCTATGGCTTGGGTTGCCTTGCCTCTACATAAGCTTTAAAATACTATGAGGCTCTTAGAATTGTGCTAAGGAATACAAAGATGAATTAAACATGGCCTGGACAAGAGGAAGTTGACATTTGAGCTTGGTAATGAAACATGTGTAAGTTTTCTAGACAAAAACAAGGAAAAAGCATTCTGCGAGTGAGAATCAATTATAGTCAAAGGGTGAATATATTTCTATTTCTAAAGTACCAATTCCTGGATGTATTATCCTTGAGTCAAAGGGTAACCAGATATTTAATTTTGATAAGTACCTCAGATTTGCTTTTCAGAAGAAAAGTGATGTGAATAATCTTTTGTAGCAACCATGCACCAATGTCTACCAGAATCTCACCAACTTAGATATTATTGACCTTTTAATTTTTAATATCTCATGAGTGAAAAAACTTTTTCTTTTTTAGTTTTTTATTTTCTTGATTTGTAAGGAGTTGTATTTTTATGAACTTTGTAGTATTCTTCACTCAATCCTGTTAAATAACTTGTCCTGTTCACATTGTGCCTTTTTAAATATTAGGGATATTTTTATATCTTGCAAATATTTTTGCTTAATATATTTCCTTTACTTTTTTGAAATAGTATTTTTCTTGTTACCAAACTTAATTTTTTTGCAGTAGATTCTGACTTCTATGTTTGTCTTGTTAGAGAGATACTTTCAACTTATTGTACAGTCATTTTTTTAAACTACTCTTATTTTATAGAATGTTTATAGTTTTATTTCTTTAGATTTATTTCTTCACCCACCTGGAAGTGTTATTTGTGTCTCTTGAATTGTTGTTTTGAATTGACTTAAACTCCTTTTCTCCTCCAAGCCTCACCATGCTCCTGAAAAATGGCCACTGTCATGTCCCTTTAACTTTGTAATTGATTCCATTAGTTTATGTCTTGTCTGCCAGATTTTCCAGATTGCTTTTGAGGAAGGTTGTATCAATTTACCTTCCTAACAGTAGTTTATGAGAGGGCCTTTTCTTAGCACCCTGGGTAGACAACATTTAGGAGTCTTACGTTTAAAAAAATACTGACTAATTCATTAGGAAATTTTATTTCAATTTAATTTGCATTTTCAATTTCAGTGCAGTTGTACAGTTTTTCACATCTTTATTGACTATATTTTTGTTTCTCTGTGTTAGTGGCCTGTTTTACCCCTTATTCGTTTACTTATTGGAGTCTTGGTGTTTCCATTATCTGTTTGCTTGTTTTATGTACTTTTGTATTAACCCTTTGTCCACTAATATAAATGTTCTCTCACATTTTGCTTGCCTTTACAATTTGGTTTCCGTTTTTAAATCTTCTCCCATTATGTCTTCCATTATGTTTAAATTTAGAAAATCTCTCAACCAAAAGATTTACCAAATACTCATGCCATTTTAAACGTATTTTAGGGGAGTAAAATTTAACATTGTTTCTTGTTTTTGTTCTTTAATCCCTCCGAAACTTATTTATTTTGTATGCATGGATTAATAATCTACATTATATTTTTCCTCATCAGAGGGCTATCTAATCATTTATTAGTGTTTTTTTAAATATCTTTTCCTACTAATTTACCTTGCCACCTTTAGATAATAAGTTCAGACTTAAGATCTTTTTCCTGTTGATCTGCATTAATACCAGACTGTTCTACATATTGCAGGCTTTTAATGTTTGCTAATTTAGCCCTCCTTCCCTAGTATTCTTTTAAAACATGTTCCTAGTTATTTCTATTTGTCATTTTATTTGAATTGGTTTTGTATTCTAGTTTATGTTTGAAAACTAAAATGAGGTTATAGGATGATACTATTTTTGATTCTGAGAAATATTTTGATTGATCTATGTGGCAAAGTGATATTAACCTTCATTTGGAATGTAATATGTTCCTCCAGGACAGTAGTTTTTCTATTTCCCTCAATTCACGTATTGATCGTCCCACGTTTCTGTATCTCTTTTGACAAGAGGTTCTGTTGTCCATACAAAAAACACTTAAATATTTTTTATTTTATTAACTTAAAAATAAAAATACATACATTTATAAGATTCATAAATATATGCATAAAAATTATATTTGAGTAACACATTTATCGCAGTTTCCCTTCTTGACATAATGAAGCTCATGTTCACTGCATCTAGAATTTTTGCTGTCTGCAATTTAGTTAAAATTAACTTAGATTATTTTATTTTTAGGCTTTTTCCTTCTTTTAAGCAGAGCTATGGGAAAACGAAAAATGACTTCCTGTTTCTTTGCATCAGTCATTTTTATTTTGACTACATTTGTGTTTTTAGAGAAAAATGTCTTATATTTATGTATTTCTTATTCAAAGTAGTTCTTTAATGCTTGGGATTGGCACCATGAACCATATAGCAGGAACTCCATCAAGGTTCTCAGGATTTCTTTAAGGGTACACTAACTTTGATGAAAGCAATACAGCTGTCTTAAATTTATAGGAGTGGTTATATGCTATAGAAATGCGGTAGGTTAAATATATAAGTAGTTCTCATATGTGGTGTTCAGTATTGTCAGCTGATGTTATTAATGAAATAATTGAGTTAAACCATTGAAACAAAAGATCTCCATACATACCTACATCAGCCGAGAAATCAATATATCATCCCCATGGCCAAAAATTCATAAGTGTCACTATTTTTAAGACTCCTTTATCATATTTTTAGTCTCCATTGTAGAAGAGCTTTCTGATATTTTCTGTTTAAACTCTTAATTTCATTCATAAACCTGTCTGCTCTCTCCCAGTAAATAATCATTTTAGCCTGTGCTTAAAAACTGCCATCTCTCACTCCTCCTCTCTTTTATTTAGATGGCTTTGATTGTTAAAAATTGTTCTTATGGAACTGAAATCTGACATCTTTTGCCCTAAGAATTCTCCTTTTTCTGCTCTGTTCCTAAACACGATGTCTACTCTTTCTTGACTTTTATGACAGGAAACAGCCATCATGGCCCCTCAAAGTCCTCTCTTCCCATCCTGGTCAGACTCTTCTGAATTTTCATCAGGTGGTGACAGCTTCAAATAAAATGTGCCGTCACTGAACAAATGGAGTATGTCAAGCATTCATCAGTGGGAAAAGAGGCCATATTATGTGTGTCTTGACACCTTAGCATTTTTATCTCCTTTCTGAGTTCCTAAAGCACACATTTATATGAACTGGAACTTACATTCTTTAAACCATTTGGTTCTTAGTAATTTGAAAACATATTAACTTAGCTACATCCAGGGGTTTTCCTTGTTACAAGTAATTGCCTAGCAAATAACAGTCTATTCTTTTTAACATCACAAGAGTTCCTGTAAACTGGCTTACTAACCTGTAGCCCTTTTGATTAAACTCCAGTCTTTTTCAGTAATCCCTGTTCTTTTTCTACCATATGTCACACTGTTTTGGCATACTCATGTTTGTCTTTCTAAATGCTCTTAAGTAACATAATTTTACATGAGTCTTAAAGACCTCATTCCATGGAGGATAGGATCATTGCCTTCATTCTGCAATTTTTAAATTTATTCTGTCTTAGGCAAGGGTTACTTACTAATTGTTGACTGACAAATATGTGTGATTGGGTGACATAAGTTGCCTAATCTCTCTGTGTCTTGAGTTCTTCTTACACAAAACCAAAAATTAGGTAGCATAATTTCTAAAATACCTTCCTGCTTAAATTTAATACCTTAATGTTCATCTGCAAACATCTAAGTCCTGCTAATGACATGGTAATGAATATTCCTATTAGTTTTTCAAGAGAAAGAGACTATTTAACATTTTGTGTGGAGGAGACATTTTGAATGTCATAGAGAGTACAGCTTATAAATACAGCTTCCAGAGTTTCTCATGTCATTTCTTCAGGCTTCTTTCTAGAAAATGTGAAGACAGTGTGATCTTAGACCCATACCAAAGGATATTAGTCTTTTCTATCAAGAACTTTTATTTCAGTTAAATAAATATAATGAAAGCTCATTTGAAAACTCACTGAGTGAAAAATGCTTTTTTTAAATGGATAGAGAAAATCATGTTTGATGTTGTTTAATAAAAATGACCAAATTTAGAAATTTCTCATGTATAGGTAACTATTTGGAAACGTGAATAACTGTTTACTGGGATTAGGTAAATGGTACTAAGAATGACTTGAAACCATATTATTTTGGGATTTATTAAGGATATTTTACATGTGTTGCTTGCATGCAAATCTCATGTGACTTACTAAAAAGGAAAACATATGTTCCCTTGCTGAGACACTTAATTATGTTTCTTGATGGTTTCATCTGAAAAGAAAATGTTTCACAAATTGAAAGCAGAATGAATTTATATTATCAACTAGTACCCTCTGCTAACCTGTGTCACCAAATGCTTTTCTTTGGTACACCTTATTCTAATGTGTGCCATCACTTTATAAACATCTGCCACAATACATTGGGAAAATGCCCCTTGAGAAAAATTAGGGATTATCCACCCAATTAGCATAAAGCTACAAGTCTCAGGCTAAAGAGAATCTCTGAAGACGGCATCCTCACATCTGCCGTATTTTTGGACTAACTGTTATTACCTGAAGACTAGAGTTGTGTTATGCTCAATAGCCACATATGGCTATTGAGTATCTATCTGAAATGTGTCTCGTCTGAATTGAGATGTGCTGTCTGTATACAATAAACACCAGATTTCAAAGATTAAATATATATAAAAAATAATAGGAAATATCTCATTAATGATTTTACATTGATAACATGTTGAAATGGTATTTTACATATAGATTAAATAAAATATGTCATATTAATTTCACCTTTTCACATTTTGAAATGTGGCTATTAGAAAATTTAGAATTTCATTGATGCCTCATGTTACATTTGTTTTAGACAGCACTGACTGAAGGTGGTTGATTACCTGTGGATCAGAACAACTGGAAATATTTGTAGCCTAAACATTTAAGGAAAATTTAACTTTATATACAGTGTTCATTATTTAAATTTTTTTGCATGCTGTCTTCTATATACATCATGATTATTTCTGTTCCAAAGCTGTGCTTATTTCGTTCCCTATACCTGCATTAGCAAACCTCCTGGCCACTTGATTTTAATGTACAGTCTCCCCCCTTACCTGTGGGGGATATGCTGCAAGACCCCCAGTGGATATTTGAAATCACAGATAGTACCAAACCCTATATTCTATGTTTTTTGGTATACATACATACCTAGGATACAGTTTAACTTACAAATTAGGCACAGTTAGAGGCTAACACTAGTAATTAATAGCATAGAACAATTATATTATAATAAAAGTTATGTGAATATGGTCTCTCTCAAAATCTTACTGTATTCTACGCACCCTTGTGATGATGTGAAATGATATAGTACCTATGTGCTGAGATGAAATGAGCTGAGTGACGTAGGCATTGTTACATAGAGTTGGGCTACCGCTGACCTTCTGATGATATGTCAGAAGGAGGGTCATCTGATTGGGGTGATCCTGGATCATTGAAGTAGACGATGTCATGGGTGGATGTCAGCAGCAGACAATGGCGATGTATGGGGAAATTTAATATTTCTGGGCCACAGTTGACCACGGGTAACTGAAACTGCAGATAAGGGGTTTATACACTGTATACACACTTTAAAGCCTCCTGAAAATCTCAGATCGTTCTGTGAAACTATTCTTGTTTCTTGGTTTTTCCCTTCTCTGAACTTATTTGGTTCTGTGAAGACTATCAGAAAGCTAACATTTAATTAGATTCTGTCTTCAAATAACCTCTAATGGTGTTGATATGTTTCTTAGAAACATTTTTGGGAGGGAGAAGCAAGGCATACACTTTTCTTCCGTTTCCTCACAAGTGATCATCTTCAGTGTACAACAGACGGACAGTGGGTTTATATGTCCCCTGAGAAGCTCTAAATGTAGGCTTTCTTCTAGCTTCCTAGTGCCTTGATAGCTATTGCAAAACCCTCAAAACATACTCATGATTTAAGATTACGCTCTTTTGGGTTAGCTGACTTTTTATAGTGGGGCTTTAGAGAAAAGTTATGGCACTAATTATCGGAGCCAGCCGATAAGATTGAACAGTCCTGAGAGGGGCGCTAGGCTGAAAAAAGAGACAGAAGAGAGAGAATTACCGGGAGGACTCCAGTGCTTAATACTGAAGCCCCGAGTTTATTTCACATAGCATATTTAAGGGAGGCACTACGTGCGTCCAGAGCATCAGATCATACAATTAACAATATCATCCTCTGTCCCTGTTCTGTCCCTATTAGATAAGCCAAAACTCCTGTTAGCTAAGCAGTTATATTAAGTATACTTTCTCAAGGCTGTAACTGTGCTTGGTTCCTTGTTCTCAAAAACTTGCTGTTCTTACCAGACTATCAGGATATGCATAGGCATTTGCTTAGGTTGCAGAAAGTATCTAGTAGCAAGCAGCTCTCAAGGCTGCAGCAAGTGGCAGGCAGCTCTCAGCAGCTCTCATGAGGCAAGCAGCTCTCATGGCTCCCAACAACTAATCAAAAAAATAAGGGAAATTCACTGTTGTACTTTCTGTCATCTGTAATAGCCCCATTTATACTTTTTAATCTGTAATGTGTCCCTTTTTATTTTTATTTTTTTAAAATGGCCTTTGAATGTTCAGGATGATGCCCGCCAACTCTTCGTGCTTGCTGGAGCTGCTGAAGAAGGTTTTATGACTGCAGAACTTGCTGGAGTTATAAAGAGATTGTGGAAAGACAGTGGCGTACAAGCCTGTTTCAACAGATCCCGCGAGTACCAGCTTAATGATTCTGCAGCATAGTAAGTATGCAGAACTTCAGAACTAAACTATCTTGAGTAATTACTTGCAAGTCACATATATAATACCTCCAAGTCAATTGTATTGCAGAATTGGCTGACACATTCTTGTACTACTCGGGATAATCAGGATGACAGTATTTGAAAACTTTGTCTTTCTTGTGTGTGTTTGTAGATAGCAATGTTGTTATTTCCTTTGTGTTCAAAAGAGTCTCAAGAGACTCATGCTTATGCAACTCTAATTGAAATATGCAAAATGGGACTGTTTCCAGTGTATTTCCAAGAAAGTATTTGGAACTTCCCAAAGTTTGTGCCAAATGTGGGTGTATCTCTAGGTTGCATGGGACTGGCCAGAAGGGAGGGTGACTGATTTGGGTTCCTTTCATTATACTAATGGTTCCTGAGATGAGTTACGTGTCCAGTGACAGGCACCTTGACTGACGTGTGCCCCTTTCGAAGGGGCACATGGTAAGCCCAGGACATTTTCTCACTGAGTAAAATAGGTCTATACTTGCAAATTGTCAATTTTGTGTTCCCTGTTGCATTAGACATTGTTTACAGATATCTAAGTACAGTTTTTTTGGAAGAAAAATCTGCCCTGATTTTCCAGACAGTGGCCCAGAAAGTTTGTAAACCAAGTTGTGATAAAACCAAAGTGGGGAGTTTCTGCTTGATGATCTATATAGAATTTTAAAAAATCAAGTATTTGTTTCCATAATTTGGTACACTTACTCAGATATGTCAGATAAAATATGAGTAATGTTAATTGGTCTTAAAACATGTGCTGTGCACCCAGTTTATTTTCTTAGTGTGTTCCAAGTGTGCACGCGCTTTGCCACAGTGAAAAACCTGGCCTCAGGGGCCATACCGTGTGATTATCACGTGGCATGTCATTTGTTGCACATCAGAGTACTCCATATGTATTACATAAATGACTCAGTGTGAATGAATAACACACGTTACTCTATAATCCATAGCAATTTCTATAACACTATGCAGTAAAACCTTGGAATGCGCGTAACTTGGTTTGTGAGTGTTCTGTTCCGCAAGATGAGCAAACATTTCTAATACATTTTAATGTGGTAAACGAGCGATGTCTTACAATACGACTAGTTTATTTCCGGAATGAATTATGCTCGCAAACCAAGGTATTACTGTATTTCTTAATCTGTATTTTTAACGTTTTCCAAGTATATAAGCCATATACGTTGTTACATATGTAGTTTATACATGTATATGTAACATCTTATGGAATACGTAGCCCATCTCTCTAACTGGCGTTATCACTTCTACTAGGAAATATTCCTTGGCTCACTGAGTAGGTCCTTGCCTCCCTCTTTTATGAACTCATAATATGATATATTTTATGACCTCCTCCAGCAAGAGGAGCTATTGCAGTAATTAAGGAATATGTCCCAGGGACAGTAGATTGAAATTTGTTTCTCCGTGTGGGGGGACTTCCTGGACCCCCTCAGTCTGCTAAACAACACCCTCTCTCCTGTGCACAGTGCCTGGAGGCGCATGGAGAAGAATATATCACTTTAGCTCCTCATTATTTCATTGTTAGTAGTTCTGACCTTAAGATGGAAATAGTGAAGCCATTTTTCAAGAATGAAGGAAATCATAGAAATCTTTTTCTCCATAGTGGTTCTAGGGCATTTTGATTTCTGAGTTCTTGACTAGAAATGGGGGATGCTGCCAAGTTGCCCATTAAGACTGTCCAACCACCATTTTACACTTTAAATTTCTGATCATTGAAAACAATTGGAATTTTTCACAATGCCTGTTTTTCATTTTTGTCCCATTGAAACATAAATGTGCATTATTTTTAGAGTCTATTAGAACTATAGCAGTTTTAAACAAATAAATGTATCTATGAGTAAGCAGAGCACATTTTAAATAAAAGTAGCTATTACATAGGCACAATTAGTAAAATCTTGGCATGGCCTGTTCAGTTTGTTTATTAAATCAGATTTTCTTATCATAAGGTATAATATTATGTATGTGGAATTAAAAACACAGGTAAAGTACTGGGGGATTATTACCAGTGCAATAATAAGATAATAACATTCTTTTCAGTTCAGTAAGTACAATACAGATAACTCAGGGTATTATCTTTCTGTGTTCTGTTGCGTGTCAGCACCAGATACATGTACTTAACTGTCTGAAACATTTTGGGTTATTAATTCAGTGCTTGGGTAGTTTTCCAGCTCCATCATCAACAAATCAAATATTTATTGAGCTCTTTTTGTTTGCAAGACCTAGTTCTAAATGGCTAAGGAACAGTTTCAAAGGATAACATCAGTTAAAGTCGCAATAGTTGGTGCCTGTCTGAGAAACAAGATGTGACTATTCCTGCCTCCGTACTGTGTTACTGCTCATTCCAGTGTAAATGATATTCCTTTTTCTGTCCCATCGTTCAGATTTCTTTTTATACGCCTCACTATCCATGAATCTTTCTTTAACTGCTCAGGTTTACATTAATCTCTCCATACCTCGCCTTTCTATACCATTATGGACTCTGTAATGACACAAAATTACACAAAATCATTGCAGAGTATGGCACCACCACATTTTTATATCACAGCATATTTGGCATCATTGGCAGAGAGTGATGAATGAGCGACTAAAATCAGTGAGAAGGAAAATATAAATACTGGTATAGAGAGCCAGTAAAATGCAGAGTAAATGATCATGTGTAGTGTTTCCCGTACGTCACGTAAGGCAGGTTGAAAAGGAATGACACCCAGTTCAGCTTTGGTCAGGTTTCCTCACCGTCTTCTCAAAAACCAAAACTTTCTAAATGCTCAACAGAAGAGTAATAATGTCTGGAACATAAACACAGTGCTACCTCAAAAAAAAAGTGAAGTAAAGAAGTTTAAGAAACAAGCACATGGTGTGCTGTGATTTTGGGTGTTTTTAAAGTTACTCTTAGTCTGTTTTCTATTCCCAACAATGAGGATTACTAATTACTGTCCTTAAGAAACAAAGCACATACCATTTTAAAAATGTTAGAAGGGTTTTGTGACTAGAGAAGTATAAATATTTTCATTTCAGTGGGATTTGTGTAAGATATAAACTTAAATTGGTTGTGTTACATCATTAGACATTTAAGAAAACTATCAAACTTCCAGTAACAGAATATTGGATGCCTTAGAATGCTTTACTCTCTGGTTTAGGTGATCTTTATTGGCTATATTAACTGCTAGAGTATTTTTCTTCTGTTTTTCAGCTATTTGAATGACTTGGACAGAATAGCACAACCAAATTACATCCCAACTCAGCAAGATGTTCTCAGAACCAGGGTGAAAACTACAGGAATTGTTGAAACCCATTTTACTTTCAAAGATCTCCACTTTAAGTGAGTAGCTTCTTAGTATGTGATTTATAAATTTAGATATAAGACACATTGTGTAGGAAAAATGGTAAAATAATAAAAGTTTAAATAAATTTAGAGTTGGAATTACAAAAAATTTTTCTCAGATAATTGAACAAAAGAATTTTTGGGTGAAAGAGGACAAGAAACATTATTAGGAGTAATATTTATATTTTTATTTTAAAAAATAGCCATGAAAATTTATTTTGGCTACATTTTTCACATTGATTCAAATAAAAATTGTTTTTAGCTTTTATTTCTAAATAGAAAATACTGCTCCAATATTGTATATTTTGGAAAAGTATTATCCATTTTTAGGTAAAAGAGAGTTGTACTGATAGGTTATATTCTTATTTATGGAAACAATTAAAATCAAGGTACCTTTTGAAATTTTTTCATGAAAATTTTTATTCATGCAAACTGATTAAAAGTGTTCATTTAATGTAGAGTGTACTGATTATTAACTCCCTGAGGTCTGAGCAGGGAAGCACTGAATTGCAGTAGCTTGCAGAAACAGGGATCTTGGGAGTTCATTTTGTCCCGTTTGCTGATTTTATAGTGAACCAGGCTTAGGGAAGTTCCGGTAAACATTACATTCAAATTTACAGAACTACCTTTTTCTTTTTCCAATAAATAACAATTTTCAATGTATGCAAAAAAAACTGCTGGACTTTGCTTCAGTTAAGTCTAATGCTGTGAAACAGTAAAGATAATAAAGCAGAAGTTCTGAAAGCATCAAAAAAAGGTTCCTAGTCAAAGATAAACAAAAACAAATAAGCATCAGCTCCTGTCATAAAAAAGCTGACAATTACGAGTTGTGGGAAGCACAGTTAAATATATGTAACTATACCTCTTGATTCCTTCCGTAAGTATTTTAAATACATTTATTGTCATTTGTCACTAATTTATCCCACATTCAGTGGTTTATATAATTGAGTTTTCCAGAAAACTAAAATTTAATTTCAATTTCTATAGCAGCTTCCCTCCAAAAAACAAACATCGCCCTGCTTCTTAAACAGAGATACAGATCATAATTAGCTTATCTGACCATGTAACTTTACGCTTTAATACATGGTATGGTTTTGCATCTGCTATTAATTTTCTTTTTGTGTTTTCACTATTTTTTTAAGCTGTCAGTAGACTTTTTTTTTGTTGCTGTCATTCTCTCTTATTGAAATCATTTACCTTCTCTTGGTCTGCTTACTACTTTTAGAATATTAAATGACTAAACTCAGGAATATTAAAATATTGTTATTTTAAATAATCTGTTATATCTTATTTGAGAAAATTATAAAGTGATTTAATTATAAGGAAGTTCACTGTTAGAATGAGGCTTTAAGGTTTTTTGGTTTTTTTGTTTTTAACCTAGTGCACCTTAGATTCTGATGTTTTGCTTTTTATTTACCTTGCTTTAAGACCATATTCTATAACAAACTTAAGTTGTTATGTTCAGACAGTGGTTTTATTCTGACCACATAGCTTGATGAAAAAAATGCATGCTGTTGGGGTATGCTGGTTAGGCCTCTAGACCTAAGTTCCTGTTAGGTAAGTGGGCCAACTTGGTTAAGATTCTTAACAGAGTATGTTACCATCTCGCCCATTGTCAGAAGTTTAAACATAAAATGAGGTACTGACTCTAAAGGAGATGGTGTAGACGTGAGAGCTCTGTGAATGGTGAGTAATGGCAGTGGTAAATGTTAAGTTAGTCATTTGCGCTTAAGGTAATCTAACTATGTAAAACTCACTTTCAATCTGGTTAGTTTTACCTTAAACATTCACCTTCAGCCCGTTCTGTTCACTGCCAGTCTAGGTTTCTCGAGTTGTCATTTCAACATCCAGCAAGTACTGGGAGTCAGTAAAGTTGTTTCTCACCGCCATCCTTCCAGGAAACCCATTTATCTGCTCTGTTTAGTCTCTGCGGGTGAGATAGTTTCACAGGATGTATTTAGTTACTGTTTTCACTTTGTTGACTTAAAGATAAACATAGGTTTGTCAGGAGCTTCAGATAAACTTTGTCTTATTTTGGATTTGAATTATTTTAAATTACTATCATCGCAAACATATGGTTCCAGATTTGCTTTTTATATGTTAAATGAGCCTCCTAAGAATGAGGGCAGAAATGTGCTTAGAATAATTCTACCGGAACTCTTCAGTTTGTTTATCATTTTTGTATTTTGTTTTATAATTTGTTGTCTGATTTTAACTGGTTATGTAAAATTTCAGTTTCATTTATTTTGTGATATGATTAGAATTAAATTCAAAGTGAAGCAAATAAATTATACTTTAAGAATATATCTTATCACCTCTGTGACTAGGCATTTGTGGAAAGTGTCTACATGGATTATTTTGCTTTAAAGAATCAGGTTTTATTTTACTTTGTTATTTTTGCTGAATATAAAATCACAGCATACCTTCTATTATAAAAGTATCATAATAAATGACATTTATATTTCTTTTCTATAGGTAATATGAAAGTGTAATAGGTTTTGTAATATTTATGGGGTTGATTTTCATATATGGTCAACTAACTTTATACCAATCAGTCTTGGTATCAGACGATAGTCTGAGGATAAGTCAGCACATCTCAGGAGCTCCAGTATCCCCTTCCATCTTCCATCCCTCTAAAAAGAAACCCCTAAGACAACTCAAATTCACTCACTATTTGATGTTAGTCAAAAGTCTCATCTTTTCATACGAAGGAGAACATATAATTTTGTTCTGTCTTGGGTTAACTTTTTTAAATAATAGAAGTTCAGATTTTGAAGATAACTAATATGTGTGTGCATCCGGTTCCTCTTTGCTTCATAGTTTGTTCCTCAGTCTATCCCTTTCCTCTTGCGTTTTCCTACAGGAGCGAGGAGAAATAAGGCTGCACCTTGCACACTTTGCTTGGAAATTTCCTCAGTTCAATATCCAAGTTCTTCTCGTTACAAGTTCTGCCTGATACCCAACAGGAGAACGTAGTTAAGCAAAGTTTTTGCCACTTAAAAAAAATATATTTTTTCTCCAGTGTCCAAGAACATGGTTTTCATTTCCTTCTGAGACCTCATGAAAAATATTTAACATTTAGATCTCTCCCAACATTGTGTTCATGATGATATATGTGTTCTCTACAATAGTTTTTCTACCATCTGCTTCACTTCTAAGTCTCTCCAAAATCACCTTTAATGTCCATGTTTCTCACCAACCATCATTCCAAGGCAACCTGGGCATTTTCTGTCAAGTAACTCAAGATTCTTCCAGTCTCTATCTATTACCCGGATCCACAGCCATTTCCACATTTTTAGGTATTTGTTACAGCAGCACCCAACTCTGAGTACTAAAATTTGTATCAATCAGTGTTGTCCAGAAGGTTCTGTTTATTTCAAGGACTTGGCTTACATGACTGTGGGGGCTGACAGGTCACAGTCTGTAGGACAGGCTCGGATGGAAACTGAGTCTTAAGGCACAATTTCTTTCCCTTCTGGGAAATCTTCTGTTTCTGCTCTTCAGGCCTTTCAACTGATCTGGAGTCCACGCAGGTTATCAAGAATAATCTCCTTTATTGAAAGTCAGCTGATTATAGATGTTAACCACAACTCTAAAATACTTTCACAGGAGCACCTAGATTCATATTTGATTACATAACTATGTATGATAGCCTAGTCAAATTAACACATACAACTATTACAGAGGGAAAATGTGGGACAGGGTGGGTTTGCTTATTATGTTGAGTGGTCAGGAAATATGTGACATTTGATCAGAGAAGTTATCTAAAATATATTATCTCTCTGGTAAAGTTCTTTTCAAATTGTGTTCCTTGGCAATTTAACAAATGTGTAATCATTTTAATGTATTATCTTGTTAGATCTTTCTTACCAGCTGTCCTTTTAGTATCTTACCATTTTTATTCTGTGATAGAATCATTTTCTTATATGGCGTTCTTAAACTTAATGAACAATTTATTAGCTAAACCAAGAGAATGAAGGTCACTGAAATGATGATAAAGTGACAATACTAGTTGATGTTCAGATTTGGTTTATAGGCCAATACTACTCTACTGGGAAAATTCTTTGTGCTGCCTAAGATTAAATAGGGACTATTTTAATTAGTGCACCCTTTAGATAAATGGAGCCTTTAAAAATGTACCAGTTTGCATAGTGTTTCCATTATATAATTGGCTATTTCTAGGTTGCATAACAGACTGTAAATTTCAGCTTTTGCTTAACTTAATAAACTTACAAGAAAAAGAGGAAAATACCATTGTCTTTATACTTTTGTGTTAACTACCCTGTACACTAACCAACAATGGTCTACTGTTGTATATTGCATAAAAATTGAGTTTTTTCACTCTAAATTTTAAGACAATTCTTAGGGCCATCCATTTATCTTATATTTCATTTCTCACATTTTCTTTTATACCATGGCTTTACTTTTTAATTTAGGCAACCTGTTGGTCCCTATCTGAGTATGACTTGCTTGCTCAGCTTGCTTTTTCTTACCTGAAATGGTTTCTCCTGCACATCAAAGCCCTGTGTATTGCCTCTGAGAGAAAACAACATTTTGTAGTGGGGAGAAGGGGCCATGTACTCTGTTCCTAATGTTTTGTGACATTGGAAAATTGAATATACTCTATTCTCTGCATTTCCTAGTTGCTTCATGTGACTTCTCGGTGTTTACACATAGTACAGTCCATTCATTTGTGTTTGCTTTAATGTTCTGTTCTAATTGTTCTCATGTGTTATTGAATGTATTGTTTTTGAAGGTATTTTGGGTTTGGGGGGTTTTGCTTTGAAATACTGTACCTATAATCAAAACTTTTTAAAAACCAGCAGACTTTTTTCCATTTGTGAAAACCAATTTCTGACATTATTTTTGTCCCATAAAGTCCTTTTTTCCTTGCTTCCTATCCCACATCCCCCTGATAGCTTGAGGCATCTTGTTGATAATGTAGAAATCCTCAGAGCTTTTGGACATTTAGTGTGATTTCAAACTCATTACTTGTCCACTACAGGATGTTTGATGTGGGAGGACAGAGATCTGAGCGGAAGAAATGGATTCATTGCTTTGAAGGTGTGACCGCCATCATTTTCTGTGTAGCGTTGAGTGACTATGACCTCGTCCTGGCTGAAGATGAAGAAATGGCAAGTAGAACCACCTTTAATGAAAGATTGAGCATGAAATATGAAGAGCTGAAGATGTTACCAAAAATATTTCTGAGAAAAATTCTTGAAAAATTCTTTGAATTTCAAATAATTCTCTGAATTATTTGAAAGTTTGGGCTGTTTAACTTTCCTGTTTCCGTACGAAAAGGGAAGTTTACTAACGAAACGCAGATGGAGCCTAAGAAAAAGGAAACGACTGAGAGTTAATCTCCCCTCAGCCCTATGTGCGCTTAACTGTGCATTTCCTATATCTGGTAGTGTCTACGTACTGAATAAAAATAAAGTTAGTTCCATAATAGTCCTTGGCTTCTTTTTCTTAGCTTAGTACTTCTGCCAGCTCAGTAATCTTTGATCCACGTCATGTTTTGTGATTGCCATATAATTTTCAGATGCGTTTCATTACAGTATCATTAATCTGGAGGAAATATTTTTAAGTAGAAATTTAAAACTGTCATTTTAAATTAACTTCAGTTAACAAACTGGGGAAAAGGTAGAAATGTCAGTTTTATTTTTTTTTAAATCAGGAATGTGCAGTTATAGTGCAGTAAATGCAGTGCGCCATCATACATTCATTCCTCTCATTTTGGCACTCTAACATATATCTATGCCCTTTTTGAAACCACAGATGCTGAAAGGGCAAGAAACAGGATTGGAGGTTTCCTTTCCGAATGTACCTTTGTATTTAGGGTGTTGGGCTAATTGTGTTTCAGCTTACTCAGTTTAATTTATTTATCTTCAAAAACCTTTACTTATCTTCTAATGGAAACTTCAGTTAACTTGGCCTCCTAGATTGCCAGGTGCTGCCCCAGGATAGTCCCTGGTACTGTGACACATAGTGGACATTTAGCCAGTGCTGGATGAATGTAAAAAGTAATGAGTGATGTAGACACTTAGTCTCACCTAAACTCAAAGTGTGCCAGAAGTGTACTCTTGTGGTATTTTATATGTTTTTCTGCTGACTAAGCTCTATTTTGTTAACGACAGTTGTTATTTTTTAAAAGTAATATTTCTCAATCCTTGCCATTATAACAAACTGATTGTATTCTTTCCTGTTGTAGAACCGAATGCATGAAAGCATGAAGTTGTTTGACAGCATATGTAACAACAAATGGTTTACAGATACATCTATTATACTTTTTCTAAACAAGAAGGATCTCTTCGAAGAAAAAATCAAAAAGAGCCCTCTCACTATATGCTATCCGGAATATGCAGGTATTTTACTTACTGTAGATATCTTGTCAAGTCACATATTTCTAAGTGAATGTTCCCCTAAGGCAAGATTTCAATTGTTGATTTGAATTTCTTAGCTTAGTAATTCTTACCTTAAGAGAAATCACCTATAAAGTTATATTTAGGCACAAGGAGTTACTTGAGGTTTAGATTAGATTTATTTAGAATAGCATCTATTTTATGGAAAAGCTGTTGAATAATTTTCTGTGCTGACTACGAGTCTTCCTAAACTTAAAATTCTGATTTCTTCATGTAGTTAACAGATCTTGTGTCTATTGTGTGATGCACAATAAATGAGACATATCTCTGTTCTCATCTCAAAGACAGATGTATCATGAACAAATAATAGCAGTGTATAATATGCCACTACAGAGGAACATGGAAGGCAAAAAATAATCAAGAAGAAATTTGCGAGTTAGCTAACAACTCAAGGGAATCAGGGAAGGTTTCACAGGAAATCCAAACTTTGGTAATGAGACTATTAATGGCATTTAATTTTATTACTATGGAAAGTGGTCTGCAGTGAGAAAAGGAGACCTGAGATGCAGTTCAGGTTTTTCCATAATGAACTCTTTGATCTTGAACAAGGCAATTAATTTACCTGGGTTTCAGTATCCCATCTGTAAAATCAGAAGTTGGGCTAAAACGTTGGTGTGGTTTAGGTCTGTTCCTTGGAACACCTCCTGGGCTGCTACTGAAAGCGGGTGCCAGGAACAGAGACACAGATCCACTCCGCACACACACTCACACAACTTCTCTCTCATTAAAGCACAGTAACTTAGCTTTCATCTGCCTTATATGTTGGGTTTCTGAAAAAGATTTTATTTTAATGAAGAGAACTCTGTGCCTAAAAAGTGAGAGAGAGTTTGACTGCTACTGGTTTATATTATCTCAATCTACATATTCAAAGAGTTTGGTTAATTTAGCTAATTGACAGAAAAGTTGCCCTTACTCTATCCTTCCTGTTAAAAAAAAGTCTCAAGAATTTGTTTCATTATAAACAAAACTTTGGTCAGTATTGAGTAAATTGTATGATGAGTATTTACTGCCTTTTCAGAGGTGATGTTAAAACAACCTGTGATATCAATGCTCTTATTTGCCACTCATGCTAGTGAGAGTGTCGGGGCTCAATAAAGTAACACAGTCCAAATCCAGACCTGTCTTTCTCACTCCTGCACCTACACCATTAACAACCAGGCCACACTTAATTAAATTCTTATTGGAACCAGGGGGTGAGGGAGGTCCTTCAATAAATATAATCACACTACTCATTACAGCCGATTTTATATACTGCAAAGTTATACTCCGGTTGAAAATGATTTCACACAGTGGCTTATTTTAAAACTTTTGTTTTCTTTTTGAAAGTCATAGTATCCTAGGTCACCTTATTCAGGAACAGTTTCAGTGCTTATTAGAAACCAAATTATTTATAGTTCTAATTCTAAAATGAAGTTATTCAGACTCAGGGTGGTTCAGTTTTGCCGTTACTTTAATCTGTCTTTCAGTTTATTTCTGTAATTTTCTATTATGAAAGAGTCATTTTGTGTGACCAGCGTACCCAAATGATTCTATAAATATGACATATACCTACAGGGATTTCAGAACAAGCAAGAATATGCTTGTTAGTCTTTCTTTGCCAGGTATTTAGTGTGTACAAGAATTCTCCTTATGTTTCAAGTTAATAGGAATCCCTGAGCTCAGAATCTTTGAACAAAGAGAGTATCATATAATTATTTCACACTCCTGGTGTTAAAATTATAATTTAATCTTCACTGCGCACCCTAATTATTGAGTTGCCTCTTGTTTCAGCCTCAGCTCTTAGCTCTTGTGGCTGTTGCTTTCCATAAAAGAACCCTGTGTACTCTCCAACCACTCAGCTTATTTTCTACTTCTACCTGTTCTTTTATTTTTATTCACATGTCGGCAGTTCACCACATTCCATCTGCAGCCCTGTAATCTTTTATCAAGCACTGTATCCTTCCATAGTCATATTTATTCTCACCATGTTAAATTCTGCTATCAACTCTGATTTCTGTCCAGAACATCAAACTTGCATTTCCAGCTAATTGTTGAACATGTACTTGTTTTTCAGCACCTGAAACTCAAACTAAACCCATGATACTTTTTTTTCCTCAAACCTCTGTTCTTAAACCAGGCTATCATCTATACTTACCTTTATTTAGGACAGTTCTCTCACATGTTGGAAAATATCCATCACTTCTCCCCCTACCCCCATCCTTACCATTCTCTTCTTAAGACTTAAAATCAGATTGAGAAATGTGCTCATAGTTTATTCATGTGTCTTGTTGCTCTTGGGATTAGGTGATATAACTACATGGAACACATACAGGAAATTGAGCTATGCACTCAGTGATAGCTATTTTCCCAAAATATATTTTTAATATAGAGGTTGCATTAGGTTATGTGTGAACAACACACTGTTTATTGCTTTAGAATTTCAGAGCATCAAACTTTTTTTAATTTAATAAAATAAAATAAAATTTTATGTGTAAAAGCACAGCAATATCTTGGTTTGCGAGCATAATTCGTTCTGGAAACAAACTACTTGTATTGCAAGACATCGCTCGTTTACCACATTAAAATGTATTATTGGGTTGTCGAAAAAGTCATGACCCATTTTTGCAATGAAAAACAGAAAAAATACATCATGACTTTTCTGACAACCCAATAGAAATGTTTGCTTGTCTTGTAGAACACTCGCAAACCATGTTCCTCATAATCCAAGGTTTTACTGTATATGGTTGTCTGCTAGCTGCTTAAAAGAGTTGAAATGTATTTTGACAACCTAGAGAAAATGGATAAATTCTTAGAAATACATAGCCTACCAAGACTGAATTACAAAGAAATACAGAATCTGAACAGACTTATTACTGGTAAGAAGATTAAATCAGTAATCAAAACCCTTCCAAACAATAAAAGTTCATGACCAAATGTTCTCACTAGTGAATTCTACCAAACATTTAACGGAGAATTAATACCAGTTCTTCTGAAACTCTTCCAAAATAGAAGAGGACAGAACACCTCCAAACTCATTTTACAGGGCCAGTGTTACCCTGATACCAACACCAAACACAGATACCATAAGAAAAGAAAATTACAGGTCAATGTCCCTGATGAACACAAGTACAAAAATTCTTAACAAAATATTAGCAAATCGAATTCAACAATACATTAAAAGGATCATATATCATTTGCTGTTACTTTCATCTTACTTGCATGATCAAGTGGGATTTATTCCATGGATGCAAGGATGGTTTAATATCTGAAAATCAGTGCAGTATACCACCTTAACAAAATGTTGGATAAAAATTATATGATCATTTCAATAGATGCAGAAAAGTATTTGATAAGATTCAAATTTATCATATATGATAAACACTGAACAAAGTGGGTATAGAGGGAATGTACTTCAACATAATAGAGGCTATATATGACAAGCCGACAACTAACATTATACTCAATAGTGAAAAGCTGGAAGTTTTTCCTCTAAGATCAGGAATGAAATAAACAAGAAATCCCAACTCTTGCTACTTTTATTCAACATAGTATTGGAAGTCCTATCCAGAGAAATTAGACAAGAAAAAGAAAAGGCATCCAAATTGGAAAGGAAGAAGAAAAAGTGTCACTATCTACAGATGACATGTTATATATAGGACACTCTAACAACTCTACCACAAAACTGCTAAACTCATTCAGTAAAGTTGCAGGATACAAAATTAATATACAAAAATCTGTTGCATTTCTATACACTATAATGAACTATCAGGAAAATCAAGAAAAAAGCCCCAGTTACAATTGTGTCAAGAACAAAATGCCTAGGAATAAATTTAACCAAGGAGGTGAAAGACTTGTACACTGAAAACTCTGAGACACTGATGAAAGACATTCAAGAAGACACAAAGGAAAGATATTGTTAAAATGACCATGCTACCCAAAACAATCTACAGATTCAGTGCAATTCTATCAAAATTCCAGTGACATTTTTCACAGAAAGAATAATCCTAAAATTTGTATGGAACCACAAGAGACTTCAAATAGCTAAAGCAGCCTTGAGAACAAAGCTGGAGGCATCATGCTCCCTGATTTAAAATATATTACAGTGTTCTAGTTATCAAAACAGTGTGGTATTGGCATAAAACAGATACACAGATCAATGGAACAGAATAGTTCAGAAATAAACTCATGAATATATAGTCAATTTATGACAAAGGAGCCAAGAATATACAGTGGAGAAAGGGCACTGTCTTCAGTAAATGCTGTTGGAAAAACTGGGCAGCCACATGCAAAAGAAAACTGAACCACTATCTTACACCATACACAAAATTAACTCAAAATGGATTAAAGACTGGAACATAAGACCTGAGACCATAAAGCCCAAGAAAACAGTTGGTAAGCTCCTTGACGTCTTGGATTGACACCAAAAGCAAAAGCAACAAAACCAAAGGAAACAACGAGGACTACATCAAACTAAAAGGCTTCTGCCCAGCAAAGGAAACCCTCACCAAAATGAGAAGGCAACATCCTGAATGGGGGGAAATATTTGTAAACCTTTTTATCTGCTAAGGGGTTAATATCCAAAATATGTAAAGAACTCATACAACTCAATAGCCAAAAAACCTAAACCCAATTGAAAAATGGGCAGGGGATCTAAGTAGACGTTGTCCCAGGAAAATATACAAATAGCCATCAGGTCCATGAAAAGGTACTCAACATCAGTAAACATCAGGGAAATGCAAATCAAAACCACAATGAGATATCACCTCCCACCTGCTAGAATGGCTGTTATCAAAAAGACAAGAAATAAGTATTGATGAGGATGTGTGGAAAAGCAACCCTTGGGCACTGCTGGTGGGAATAGTAATTTTGGTGACTCCATTGTAGAAACCATATAAATGTTCTCAAAAATTAAAAACAAGTACCATATGACCCAGCAAGTCCACCTCTGAGTATTCATCTGAAGAAAACAAAAACGCTGACTCAAAAAGATGTCTGCACCCCCATGTTTATTGCAGCATTTACAGTAGCCACCACATGGAAACAGCTGGTGAACTGATGGGAGGGCTAGCCTAGCACTGCCGTATCTATCATAGGTGGCAGTTTGTACATTGCATCTTCATGACATGGAATGAGTCTCAGATGTGGAGTAGAGGGTCTCAGAGCGGCTGTATTGAGCAGGCTGAGTATTAAAAGACCTGGAAGCCAGGCAAATGATTTTGTGTTATTACTGCAAACAATTTTTTTTCAAATGAACATTTGATTGAAGTATTACATAGGTACATATGTAAAATATATACATAACAAAAAAACAGCACAAATATGAAGCTCATTGAATTTTTAAAAGTGAAAATACTGATATATTTACCCCTCAGGTCAAGAAGTATAATAGAACATTTCCAGGTTCTCAGATGCCCATCATGGCCCTCCTGGTCTGACTGGCCAAACCCCTCACATACTCTCATGCAGTAAACATTATTATGACTTATCCTTGTTGATTAATTGTATTGTTCTCACACTTCTTTGTTTTCTAAACATCAGTTGAATCATACAGTGTATACTCTTTGTATCTGGCTTTATTTGCTCATGAGTATGTTTATTAAACTTATCCATGTTATTGTGTGTAGCAATGGTACTTTCATTCTCTTTACTGTAGAGCAGCTTGTTTCATGAATATACTGGAATTTATTTAGCTGGATTGTTTCCTAAACTAGAAGTTCTGCTGTTAAGAGTCTTTATTGTTTTCTGGTGAACAAATGTATGTAGTTATGTCAAGGGCACATCCAGAAACCGAATTACTGGGTCACAGAGTATGCATGAGATTATTTTTAGACACTGCCAAACAATTTCTGGAGTGTTTGTACTCAGAAGTCTCTAGTCAGTTACATGAAAGCAGGAGCGTGTCATTCGCTTGTTTGTAACCTCGTAGCCGATAAACCATATTTTAGACCCTTGTACAACTTTCTAATAAAAAAAAGTAAGAAATGCTAATTAGTGTGCATATAGGAAAGTGAATACAAAATACAGATCAGTGTTCAGCCAGCATTTTTTGATGGCTAGTCTAGAACTGAAATACCATGCCACCATCAGAGAACTGAGTGGGTCAGTGTTGGGATGTAGGGTACAAAGGATAGGAAAAAAGGCTTTGGGAGACAGAGGCAAAAACAAAGATCATATGGAATACCATGTTTTTTGGCTTGGGGAGTTTTTTTAAGGATAACTTATAGTCGTTAAAATTAGTTAACATTGGGTATTTTTTATTTTTCTTTTTACTGACAAGTCTGATTAATATTTTCATTTACTCTCTCTTTTTTTAATTTACACCCCTCACAAAGTGATAACCCCCCCTCCCAGTCTACTACTCTGACATCATACATAGCTGTTATAATATAATTGATTATATTCCCTGTGCTGTATTTTACATTCCATGACTACATATGTAATTATAGTTGACATTCATTGTTACTCTGCATCAGCTTCAGGTGTACAGTACAGTGGTCAAGCATCCACACAGCCCATGAAGTGATCCCTCTGATAAATCCAGTGCCCATCTGACACCCTACATGATCTTTACAACATTACTGATTATATTCCCCATACTGTATTTCACATCCCCATGGCTATTTTGTGACTACTAATTGATACTTTCTAAACCATTCACCTTCTCCCCCGCCCCCCAGAACCCTTCCATCCAGCAAAAAATAGACACAGAGATGCAGAGAAAAACATTGGGTATTTTTCATTTAGAAGAAATAGTTTCTCTCATTCTAGAAGGAAAAATACAATTATGGAGTCCACATATTTTATATGTATGAAGATGACTTCAGTATGTTAAGGTTTGCTTTGCTTAGCTGTATACGCATTTTAACTTTTTGCCTTATGTTTCTTTCCTTTTCCCATCTCAGGCTCAAACACATATGAAGAGGCAGCTGCATATATTCAGTGTCAGTTTGAAGACCTCAATAAAAGAAAGGACACAAAGGAAATATACACCCACTTCACATGTGCCACAGACACTAAGAATGTGCAGTTTGTTTTTGATGCCGTAACAGATGTCATCATAAAAAATAATCTAAAAGATTGTGGTCTCTTCTGAGTTTTGCAGTTAATGGTAAAATGCATTTCCAAACCAAATGAGTACTTATATGTGGATCTCTCTAGACTAGAGTCTTGTAGCAACACAGAATGTAGCATATGGATAATGTGTCTGGGACCTGACCAAAGTTGTTCTGTTTCGTTTTCTTTGACTGAAAGTAACAGAAAGACCTTTTCTTAAATGTGAGAGGAGGTCCAGCAGTGTGAAACCAAGGACAGTGTTAAAGCTAGACTCTAGTGTATTGATGATTTCTGCGTAAGTGTAAATATGCAAATGTATGTATACATGTATTTATAACTTTACTTTTTCACATTACTTTTAGGTTTTAAGAGTGGCAACTGACAATTCCAGTGTGATGGCTTTGGAAATAACAGATATATTAAGTACTTTGTACTGAAGGACAGATTATTACTGCGTGTGCCAGTTTCAAACAGCTTTATTTATGTTCATGGTCCTGTAAATTTTTAAGTACATTCATTAATATTAGGACACATTGCAGCCCTTATCTTGATTATATGTATACTTGTAATCATAAAAATGTTATTTGTACAAACATGGCACAGATTATTTTAATAACATGATTTGTTCTTTCAATTTAATGTTCTTAAAGATTGAATATCCCTGCCTTTGAATCAGTTATTTAAACATTGTGTGCATTTCATGTTTTCTTTTAAGAGTGCATGTTGATCTGATTCTACATTAGATTTGGTATAAACTAAATTTTCTTATTTTGAGGATATACTGTCTTAGACTTATTATACTTAATTTTTATTCAGTTGGTTTGTTTTCACTTTGAATTTTAATATTTGGATGGTATTCATGCATTTCCTTAAAGGTGATGCCAGATTAATTTTTATATACTTAAGTAACTACCTTTTTATTTATAACTATGTTTAGGTGGATGGTGAGAGATTTTAGGGGTAAAATATATGTCAGCATAATGAATTTTGAGACATTCATTTGTGTATTTCCTTTGGGAAATCCCTCGTACCCAGCATATATGATAGCTCTTTGTTTGGAAGTTAACAAGAAAGACCTTTACTCTGCTGCTGATATAATGCAAGCTTTTAATTTGTATAAGTAACTAGCCTCAAATTTAATTATCACACTATATTGTTACTTTTTTCTCTTACATTATTCAAATTTCCTCCACTTTCTTGAGTTTAAATTTCTTTTAAAATTGTGCTATTTCTGAGAGTGAAACAGGCAATTACACTTAGAAAATTAGTAATAGTATTTAATAAAGTCAGTGATTGCTATGAATGCTCAAATAAGTGTTACATATCGACTAGATGCTGAACTTTGATAGTCATTTTTCTTTTGATTATTCACAATGTGTCTTGCGGCCTCGTTTAATCAAAATTCCTCACCCTACTTGCTTTTTTTTTACTCATCTTGAAAAAGTTAGCCTTTCAGTAAGTTTTGTGGGTAAGTAGTTTTTAAGTTTAGCTATGTGCTGTCATTTGTTGGATTTTGTTGAAGTGTATTTGTTGAAGTATGCGTATATGTGTGGGTCGGTAACCACAAACTACATTTATATCTGTTTCATTTGGGGGATTTTGTTGTTTTTTTGTAATGTAAAGAAACGCAAAATTATCAAAATTTCTTAAATGTGTTAGTTTAGATTCTTTATGTGCCTTTCCTGAAAGATATGTTTTCATTAATTTTACCAATGGGAGACCTGTAATATCCATATTATAAAGGTATGTATGAAATTCAACTATACTATGAATAAATTTGGATCATGAGAAATACGGTTTTAAAAGCCACAAAGAAGCACATACTGGTTATCATCATTGATGAATTCCTGAACTTTATTCTGTGTAATTGTGTTACTAATAAATACTAATAAATTTAAATTTTTAAAATTTTACAAACCTGTTGGCTAAAAACATTTTGCATTAGGATATAAGTATCAGTCTGTAGTATGTTTGTTTCTTCTCTATCTGTGCTGTCTTACTGCAGTTTCATCTACTCCAAAAGATTGAGTGTTCCCTGCCCCAAGTTTTCTCATGAGATGTGGTGTCACGTTTGGAATTTCCTACTTGATATCTCCTCCTGAGAATGTATTGCCTGCACCCACTCAGTACGCCCAAAACCACATTCATCGTCATTCTCCCTTTAGGTCAGTTCTCTTCCCCTGACCGCCGTTGTAGCCACTCAGTGCCATCATTCGTTTAATCCTTAGGAGGGTAGCTTTCTAGCCATTTAGGACTCTTCTTAGTCCTCATCTCCATCTCTAATAAGCCAACATTTCTCAAAATCCTACTTGTCCAATTCCTTACATACAATTTTGTTTTATTTTTCTGTTTTATTTTTCCTTTCTATCCCAGGATCACACACTGAATTCAGGTCTTTGCTTCACTTTCACTTGAAATGACTTAATGAAACTCCCCACCCCCCATTCTCCCTTCTGTAATCCAGGTGAGTTATCTCAACATAGAACTATGGCTATTTTCTTCTGTGCATTGATCTGCATTGGGTTGACTGTCAATAAAACTAAACCTAACTTAGCCTCCCATTCAAGGCTCTTCATCATCTGAGCCTACTTCACTGCATCCCCACTCCTCTCCCACACTACATCCTAATAGTGCTTTGTGCATAGCTAGGGGCTTTTCTCCAAGCATTATTCTACCTGCTACCTGAGATATGCTTAAAACAACCCCCAGAAATGGGAGGAAGTGTCCATTTGTGTCTGTTAATGTCATTTTATTTATTAGCACTTTTTTGTGCATTTGTAGATTTCAACTGGCATTTGTCCTTTGGTCCTTTTGGGAACTGCATGGTTCTGGTAGGATTGCCAATCTTATTTCTCACCTCCCTGGCCATAGGCTCAGGCCTCACCAATCCTCTGACACTGGGCAAGGAACCCAAACAGAACCAACCCAATCCCATTCCTAACGTTTCTAATGCTGTTCTGGTGTCCAAGATTCCCTTCTTTCATTCCAGTACTGAAAAACTCCTTTTATACTTCATCTAAGTATTCGGGTTTAATCTCCAAAAAGTCCTGACTAACGTTCATATGTTCTTACTGAAAGCCAACAGTGACTGTGAGAGAGATCAAAAAAAGCTCAGAGAGGATAATTAACTTGAGAAAGATCAGCTCAGGGTTTCACACCTATGACTCCTGACTTCATGCGTGTCAGAGAACTCCAAGGAATGCTGCCTTATTTCCAGAAAATGAATAAGTCATCTTTTAACTACCCCCACTTTCACCTTCTGAACCATAATACATTTTTAGATTACAGTTGACCCTTGAATAACATGGGTTTGAACTGTATATGTCCACCATATGTGGCTTTTTTTCCAATAAATAATGTAAATGTATTTTCCTTATAATTTAATAACATTTCCTATTCTCTACCTTACCTTATTGTAAGAATACAGTATATAATACATAACACTTGCAAAATATGTGTTAATCAGCTGTTTATGTTCTCAGTAAGGCTTCTGATCAACAGTAGGCTCTTAGTCAAGTTTTTGGGGAGTCAAAATTTATGTGGATTTTCAGATGTGGTGGTGTCAGCATCTCTAATCCCTGAATTGTTTAGGGTTAGCTGTAAAAATACATAAGAACAAAGCCAGAGGTAGCATGCACCCTGATTTCAAACTATATTACAAAGCTATAGTAATCAAATCAGTATGGTTTTGAAATAAAAACAGATCAATGGAACAGAATAAAGAGCCCAGAAATAATCCCATGCATATATGACCAATTGATTTGCAATGAGGAAAGGGCTATCTCTTCAATAAATGCTGTTGGAAAAACTGGACCACTATCTTACACCATGAACAAAAATTAACTCAAAATGGATTTGAGTGTAAGACCTGAAACCATAAAACTCTTAGAAGAAAACAGGTGGGAAGCTCCTTGATATCAGTATTGGTGATGATTTTTTGGACTTTACACCAAAAGCAAAGGCAACTAAATAAAAAATAAACAAGTAGGTGTACATCAAACTGTAAAGGCTTGTGCCCAGCAAAGGAAACCATCAACAAAATGAAAAACCAATCTACCGAATGGGAGAAGATATTTGACAACCATATATCCGCTAAGGGATTAATATCCAAAAAATATAAACTCAATTCAATAAGCAAAAAAAAACAATGTAGTTTAAAAATGGGCAGAGGATCTAAATAGACATTTTTGCAAAGAGAACACAAATGGCTGACAGGTACATGAAAAGATGTTCAGTATCACTAATCAGGTAAATGCAAATCAAAACCACAATGAGATTACCTCACACCTGTTAGAATGGCTATTATCAAAAAGACAAGTATTGGCAAGCATGCAGAGAAAAGGGAACCCTTGTACATTTTTAGTGGAAATGTACATTGGTGCAGCCACTGTGGAAAGGAATATGGTGGGTTCCTCAAAAAATGGAAAATTGAACTATCATGATCCAGTAATAACACTCGTGGGAATATATCTGAAGGAAACAAAAACTTGGCACCCTCATATGTTTTGCAGCATTATTTATGATAGCCAAGATATGGTTCAACCTACGTGTCCATCAATGGATGAATGGATAAAGAACGTGATATACAGAGGGTGCCAACAAATAATACACATTTTTAAGAAAGGAAAACTATTAAAATTGTAATATATACCGATAATAAAAGATGAATGCAAGTCACGTTTGACTTCTGCAGTTACAGGAGGTGCTCATAGTGGTTACCATTAGCATCCAGACACTTCTGATTACAGTGAACTGCTTAAGCAACGTTGACCAAAGTGTTCACTTGTATACATCTTTTGGGGAACCCTGGCATGCATTATGCTAAGTGGAATAAGTCAGAGGAAAGCAAATAACCATATGATCTCACTTGTATATGGAATCTTGAAAAACAAAATAAGCTCATAAAGAGAATAAATTTGTGATCGCCAGAGGTTGGGATGGGGATTTGGCAAAATGGGTGAAGGTGGTCAAAAGGTACAAGCTTCCAGTTATAAAATAAGTCGGGAATGCAATGTGCAGCATGGTGACCATAGTTAATACTGTATAGCATATTTGAAAGTTGCTAAGAGTAAATCTTGAAAGTTCTCATAAGAAAAATATAACTATGTTAACTACACTTAGAGGTGTGATCAAAAGATATGATGAATTTAAATTTTAAAAAAATTACAGTAAAAGACATTGCCACTAACCCCTTTCACAATACTCCCCCTCACTCCAAACACACTTATCCCATCATTCTTGCCACTTTGTGAAGCAGTTCTGGAAGTCCTCTTTCGTGAGTGTCTTTAGTTGAACTGTCATGGCTCCCTCGATGTCCTGAATCAATTCAAAAGGTTTACCTTTCATGGTCATTTTGACTTGGGGGAAGAACCAGAAGTCGCACAGTGCCAGATCCGGTGAGTAAGGTGGATGAGGACACACAGTAATGTTTTTTGGTTTTTGGTTTTTTTTAAAGATTTTTATTGGGGAATTGGGGGGATGGGAACAGCACTGGGGAATTGGGGGAAGGGGAACACACAAGTTGCTGTCCTTTTGTTCTTCAGTCTAGTTGTGGAGGACGTTGCTTCACTGACCCAAGTTGGCACCATCATTGCTCTTCCTGGGCGAGACAGATCAGTTGTTGGCTTCTGGACGACCGCTCACTGTGGCTGCTGGCTGCTCATGCTGGCTGCTGACTACTCACGGTAGCCCATGGTAACCCACTGCCACAGGGGCTGCAGCCTACGCCATCGCCAGCGACTCATGGCAGCCCAGCTCCAGGTTGAGCTGTTGTTCAGCATCTTAGCTATAGAGGGCAGTGTCACTGGCCCTCATATGTGGGATCCGAACCGGGGCCCTCTGGCATCCCAAGCCAGTTCTTAACCATCGCACCACTCGGCCAGCCCAGTAGTGTTTTTATTTGACAGAAATTGCCATAGACCAGAAGTGATGTGTCACATGGAGCATTGTCATGAAGTAAAGACACTCATGAAAGAGGACTTTCAGAACTGCTTTGGGAAGCGGCAAGAACAATGGGATAATCGTGTTCAAAGTGAGGGGAGGTATTTTGAGAAGGTTTAATGGCAATGTGTCTTGTACGATAATAAACTTTTTAATTTAAACATTCACCATATTTTTTATCACACCTCATATTGTGATCATTTTTGAATATATACAAATATTGAATATGTTGTACCAATGAAACAAATATATGTCAATTATATCTCAATAAAAATGTAAATGGAAGAAGGAATAGATGTCTGAGGTCCTTTCAGCTTTAAAATTCTATTTTTCTGTGACTAAAAATATACTCATTTAAGCAAAAAAAGAATAAATGGTGCTGAATTATCAGTTGTGTAGCTTGCAGAATGCAAACCATCCCAGGAACAAATTCATTTATCTTATTGATGCAGAACTTGTTTTGCAGCTCTCCACTGGAGTATAACACGTTTTCCTTTTTTGCAAGCATAAGTACCTGTCAATGTAAGTCACCATTTCTCACAATAACCTACTTCACAAGGCAATTTAACTTTTAATAAATAGAGTTTTTTGCAGGCTTAGACATACATTTCACTCCATTCTTACAGTCCTTATTATAGTAGATTATCAATTAATTTTAACTTTTTTTCTTGAAAGGGACACTCATAAAGACTAATAATTAAAGAGTTTTTCTGACTCAAGGTGGAGAGAAAGTGTAGAGACAGGATAAAGAGCACTTTTTTCCAAGACTCCCACCTCTGATCTCCTGAACCTAAGGTTTCTATGTGCAGATTTAAAATGACATAGTTCTAAATTGAGTTACTTGAAAATTTTTGCTAATGTAGGACTCACTCAAAACCATAAACTCATACATACATAGTTTCAAATATACAAGATCTGACAAATTCGCAAACTCAGCACAAGTGCTACATGCCTTATTGCTGAATATCACTATGGTCA